AATAAGCTGTTAACGCTGATAAACTGAAGTTCCTTGGTTTCCTCTTGGTTGTTATTTCTGGTTGACCCCATCTAAAACTAGATTGTAAGCTCTTGAGCAGGAATGGTCTCAGCTTGTAAAACTTCTGTAAAAAGCCAAGTGTGTTGAATAAAACCAAACAGGAAGCTGAAGCTGCACTTCAGCACCAGTGGTGGTCGTTCAGAGCATGTGTAGTGTCCCAGCAGCACCTTGCAGTGTGCCTCTATGTGTCACAAATGATGCCTGGGGCATCGCTGTCTAATAAAGCACTGAACCTGTGGTCATTTCTGACAGCTGCTCCTCTAGAAAAGGGTCCAGACAATGGATGTAAGAGCAGCTGAAGCTGTTTGTAGTGCCTGCGTGTAATGGGGAAGGTAAGCTCTCTGTTTTTCTCTATATTTTGTCTGATCTCTTGCAGATAACCTTTAACTTTTCATTATTATTGTAACAAAAGCACAGTTTACCACTCAAATGTTATGGACTTAATAGTTTTACCATGGGAACAATAACGAGAACACCCATGTTGGCGTTTACATTCTTTGCTGTATCAACAGCTGAATCTGATCCTCAGCTTTGCGATTTTCTAGCAGTATGACAAGTCGTCTAAAAAAACGTGGTGTCAGTGGTCCTGTTTCAGAGATGCTCTTCTCAGTGTTGGTATCTGGTGAGGTTGGGCACAGCCCTAGATCTCATGACTCCAGAGTAAGTTTGATGCCACATCTTGTCTTTATACAGAGTAGTTCTTGGTTTGTACACGTAAGATTTTGGTTTCTTGAAAGTTAACATATCCAGTAGGAAGATGAGAGAGATGAGTCCGGTTTCCCGCCTTTTATAACCATTTCAGTGACAACTTTAACAGGGCTGTTCTCGACCCATGCACAGTGTCTCCTCTTTCTATCCAGGTTGCAAATACAGTCTTAAGGCCATGATATGAAGCATGTTTAAAGTAGTTTTAGGAACCGTTTGTCTTGGGAGTAAAGCTAAAAAGACCCTGCTTTTTCCTTATCTCTCTAGTCTATCTTTCACACTTTTATGGATGTGAAATTGTGAGGCGTAGTTAAGTCTAAGCAATGTTTGAGGGGTTTTTGTTTTTCTTTAAACGGGTTGCAGGGCAGACACTTCAGTGTGTGTTTTAGGTGAACTCAGCAGTTTTTAGGTGAAACTTAATGGCTGGCTGCTAAAATTGAAGAAAAAGGACATTGCTTTGAATTCTGCCTACAGTTTTGCCTTAACTATGGGTTGGGCAGCTGAAGGTTTGAGAAAAACATTCTGTGTCTGCTGACTCTGGCAACTCGCAGAGCACCCAAAATTAGTAATTCACTTGAGAGATTATGTAGTGGTGTAGTTGCTACTCGAGTCTCATACGTAAACTTTTGAAATCCAGTCATGGAGCAGTGATGAGAGTGGGAGGAGCTGAGGGCAGTGTGTGCTACTTCTAAGGCTGTGGATTTACAGATAATGGAAGCAGCTGGGATTGGGGCTGTTGGTTTCATTTTACAGGAATGGGGAGTATGCTGCTTTCCCTTGGGACTGCTCGGAGAATCCAACAAGCTTTCTTATTTTCAGCATGTGCCATAATTCAGCTGTGTAATCGTTACCCAAAGGGGTGTGTGATTTCTTCATTAGTAGTTGGTTTTACACCGGTTCTTGAGCGGGCATCGGAGGGTTTAGCCTCCCCCCCATCAGACTGTAGAAAACTTGTGAGGCCCTAAAACCAGAAATACTTGGGTTTCTGGTTTTATCAGTTATGGGCCTAGTTTAATATCCATCAGATATTAAGAAGTAGACCTAAAGCCCTGGTCCTGCAAAGGCTACATGCATAGATTTAAAATGCTTGTGTCAATTAAAAGCTGACAATCATGCTCAGATATACTTTTTTTTTTTTTCTTCCCCTTGGAACTAGAAATAAACTTCCCAATTCATCATACGTACCTGTTACCTGTTGCACGTTTTGGTTGAAGTTCACAAACTAGCAATTAAATAAATCCCCTGTGGATACTGCTTAGAACAGAAGCGCTTTGCACAGTGATGCTTCACCAAGGGCAAGAAATTTCAGGGCCTCACTAATGAAAGTTTCTGCTAGGAATTTCCTCCAGCAATCTGAGGCTGTGGCAAAACCGATAAATAAGAGATACAGACATGTATTTAAAGAAATCTTTTAATATAAAATGCAGAGCAAATTGTTTGAAATGGCTGATTTCAATATAAGTAATTCAGTGCGCTTTGCACTCTGAGGCAGTGCTTCCTTTTCAGAAAATACCAGTTACTGTAAACACAAGTGTAAACAAACAACATGATTTAGTTTATTTCTTCAAAAGGTACCATTTGGCATTTAAACTTGTATTGCGCATACATGTAGTTTTTGTGTGTTTGGTGCAAGAGCTTTTTTCAATATACCTGATGGTAAAGTTGCTACATTTTCATCATGAAATGAAAAATGAGATTTTTTTTTTTTTATACCACTCTTATGGGGTTTGTTTATAAAAGATATAAAAAATATTTGTTGCTATCTTGTTAATACTGGTAATGATTTTAGTACATTACAGACTACTCTGCCTCTTAACATTCCTTCCTTATCATTACATCCTTGTTTCTCTTTTAGGCCTTTTTCTGCAGACCTTTTTTTAGGTTATTAAATAGAAAAGAATAAGCTGTTGGGAATGAGCATGAAAGTGAAGTGAATGTCTTCCTTTTAATAGCACAAATAAATAAATAACAAAATTGAAAGCTCTTTTCTTCATTCAAAGCCACTATTGGAGTGTAACCTCATTATCACAAGAACGGATAAATAGGAATTCAGTGCAATTTAATTTGCTGTAAAGACTTGGGGGAAATTAAGAAAAAAAAATGCATAAAGTTGAAGATACTTATTTTAAAAGCTGAAAAGAAAATCTTTCATGCTTCTCCTTGAGGAAGGTATCCACATGGGAGGGAAAAAAGAAGGCACAAAAGTAAATAAAACACAGACTAGGAAATGATAGGAACTCATTCACCATCACGGAAGAAACTTGAGACTGATTCAATTGCAGAGGATGAAGGTAAGACAATATTGACCATATGAGTTGTAAAGGTAACTGGTGCGTTATGTTTGCTTGGAGCTGTGATGGTGAAAGCAGTGGGAAAACAGCAATAGCTTCCAGGGCCTCTCTCCTCAAAGGAAAACTCAGAGAAGCAGAACACTCCTGAACAAATGCAAAGCATGGTGTACCTGTTAAGAATATGTAACTCCACAGTGATTTAAGGTGAAGATGAATTTGAGCTACAGTTTTTCTTTCAGTGCTAAAAAAGAGTAATAAAATGCCACTTTGTATATGAAGAATCTAGTACTAGGGACTAAACCACATTTTTCTTCTATCTGTAACTTTGAGCTAAAGCTTGGGTTTTTTTCCCTTTTTTCCCCTATTGATGTGTCATTTCCCTTCCCTTCCCTTCCTACTTTTACATAGACCTATAAATGCAGTATTTGGAATTGTGCTTGTACTGATGGCCTAGCTCCTTTGGTTCTTATTAAAACTAAACATATTTCCTCATTTGCTTCTCAGATGGCAGACCTTCTAACAGATCACAATCTGCTTGGTTTGTCAGACCCTTGGATGTGCAGTCTTCCTCAAATGTAGTCTTTTCTACTTGTGCTACTGTAGTCACTGACCTCCAGTTTTCACACAAATATCCTTATTGTTCCTTCAGGAAAAATAAAGCCTATGTGATCCTCAGCCATCTGATTTTTGTTTCTGCTCTTTTTCATTATCTTGTTTCTGTTCTGATTTGACTAAGTGTTTGGGTATGATCAAAACACTGCCATCACTACTGCAATGGATGACATACTGGCATGGGTTAACGGGTCTACCCTGGTCATCCCTCAATCTACTAAAAATGTCACGGTACAAGTTGTTTAACTTCTGCTTCAACCGGCTGATGGATCTGCTACACTGAGAGTGCTCCTTTTTAAGGCTCTCCTTTTGTGTTTGAAGATTACACACGTCTTCTTCCAAGTTAAGAATTGCATTTAGTTTGCGTTTACGACAATTCTGGGCAGCAACTTTGTTTTTCCCTCTTCGCCTGATGTCACGTAGAAGGGATACTTGAGCATCTGTGAGCTGGTTCTTTGCTAGCATAGCGTTGAAGGACTCGACAGGCATGCTCACAATTTCATCAACCGAAAATGGTATTCTCAGAGCTTCTGCACAATGGTCATTGCTACTAAGGTTTGTATCAGTAGAATTGTGGCAACTCTCCTTTACTTCGCTTGGTTTCTCCATCCACATCTGTTGATGATGCTCCGGGGTGGATGCTGCTTGACTTGGCAGCTGATTATACACGGGGTTATGGAGAAACTGCTGAAGTGTGGCTTCTCTAGAACACTCCGAATCACCTGGATTTTCCACATGGCCATATTTAGTGTGTTCTTGGAAATTGCCACCAACAGCTCCTAAGCCATGCGGAGAAACAGATTTAACATCACTGCTGTACCCAAGAGCACCTTCACTGCAGACTGAGAAAAAGGCGGTGCTGTGACCTGAATTCCAATACAGTCCCGAATCTGAGCCAGGTTCTTGAAAGAACTGAGAAACTTCTATAGGATCAAAACCTTCCTCCAAAGCCAAAGATATGAGTTTAATTTCATCAAAATTATCGTCATGGGCTGTTAGGTTCCTAATATCAGCAGCTGAAAACGGCACTGTCAAATCTGAGCCGTGAAGTAGTGATCCTGGGTTTGTGATATTAGAGCTTGACTGCGGAAAAGACTCTTGCCTTTGTAGATGTCTTGTTTCTGAATTTGATTGAGTGGGGTCATCTGTTCCTAGTAGCTTGGCATCATGAGGACTGAAACAGTGGCAAAGTGTCTGGGCCAAATTTATATGGCAGTGCGAAGGTGATGGGTCTTGGCCTCTACTAGAAGTAGCGACTTGTGTATCTTCCAGTAAACTCACCTAAAAGACAATGGGGGGGGGAGAAATGGGATCTTTTATAAAATGAATGCCTCTACATTCCACACATTCACAGAATTCCAGAATGATACGGGATTGGAAGGGACCTCAGGGGATCATCTAGTCCAACCCCCCTGCGAGAGCAGGTCCACCTAGAGCAGGTTGCACAGGAACGTGTCCAGGCGAGTTTTGAGTGTCTCCAGAGGTGGAGACTCCACCATCTCTCTGGGCAGGGAAGGAATGATGTACCATAAAGACCAGAACAACTTAAATTCCCTACTACGCTTACTGGGAGCTTGGATAACAGAAGAAAGCCTTGCCTTATTTCTCTTAGGGAGTTACCATGTACTAGACCACCTGTAATCTGTGGGACAGAGCTGGTATTTTCAATTAAGCTCTTGGGAAGTTGAGAGATTATGTAGTGGTGTAGTTGCTACTCGAGTCTCATACGTAAACTTTTGAAATCCAGTCATGGAGCAGTGATGAGAGTGGGAGGAGCTGAGGGCAGTGTGTGCTACTTCTAAGGCTGTGGATTTACAGATAATGGAAGCAGCTGGGATTGGGGCTGTTGGTTTCATTTTACAGGAATGGGGAGTATGCTGCTTTCCCTTGGGACTGCTCGGAGAATCCAACAAGCTTTCTTATTTTCAGCATGTGCCATAATTCAGCTGTGTAATCGTTACCCAAAGGGGTGTGTGATTTCTTCATTAGTAGTTGGTTTTACACCGGTTCTTGAGCGGGCATCGGAGGGTTTAGCCTCCCCCCCATCAGACTGTAGAAAACTTGTGAGGCCCTAAAACCAGAAATACTTGGGTTTCTGGTTTTATCAGTTATGGGCCTAGTTTAATATCCATCAGATATTAAGAAGTAGACCTAAAGCCCTGGTCCTGCAAAGGCTACATGCATAGATTTAAAATGCTTGTGTCAATTAAAAGCTGACAATCATGCTCAGATATACTTTTTTTTTTTTTCTTCCCCTTGGAACTAGAAATAAACTTCCCAATTCATCATACGTACCTGTTACCTGTTGCACGTTTTGGTTGAAGTTCACAAACTAGCAATTAAATAAATCCCCTGTGGATACTGCTTAGAACAGAAGCGCTTTGCACAGTGATGCTTCACCAAGGGCAAGAAATTTCAGGGCCTCACTAATGAAAGTTTCTGCTAGGAATTTCCTCCAGCAATCTGAGGCTGTGGCAAAACCGATAAATAAGAGATACAGACATGTATTTAAAGAAATCTTTTAATATAAAATGCAGAGCAAATTGTTTGAAATGGCTGATTTCAATATCAGTAATTCAGTGCACTTTGCACTCTGAGGCAGTGCTTCCTTTTCAGAAAATACCAGTTACTGTAAACACAAGTGTAAACAAACAACATGATTTAGTTTATTTCTTCAAAAGGTACCATTTGGCATTTAAACTTGTATTGCGCATACATGTAGTTTTTGTGTGTTTGGTGCAAGAGCTTTTTTCAATATACCTGATGGTAAAGTTGCTACATTTTCATCATGAAATGAAAAATGAGATTTTTTTTTTTTTATACCACTCTTATGGGGTTTGTTTATAAAAGATATAAAAAATATTTGTTGCTATCTTGTTAATACTGGTAATGATTTTAGTACATTACAAACTACTCTGCCTCTTAACATTCCTTCCTTATCATTACACCCTTGTTTCTCTTTTAGGCCTTTTTCTGCAGACCTTTTTTTAGGTTATTAAATAGAAAAGGATAAGCTGTTGGGAATGAGCATGAAAGTGAAGTGAATGTCTTCCTTTTAATAGCACAAATAAATAAATAACAAAATTGAAAGCTCTTTTCTTCATTCAAAGCCACTATTGGAGTGTAACCTCATTATCACAAGAACGGATAAATAGGAATTCAGTGCAATTTAATTTGCTGTAAAGACTTGGGGGAAATTAAGAAAAAAAAATGCATAAAGTTG